TGGACTGATAATCACAGGAGAGGTGGTTCAAATTCACTATCTGCTCCACAGGAGACTATCAACTCCTATAAACATGTATAGCCTCTAAAGCCATATGTGATGTCACTGTGAGTTGGGTGGCAGTGGGCTTGGCTTCCCCTGTTGCATTTAACCACACATAGGACCACATTTGGCACTCACTCATGTACCTTGCGATTGAGCCATAAGGAACTGATGCAAAATGCTGTTTTGATTACTGTTTTTGCGATGAAAAAAATGAATTGTCTAGTTCTCTGTCCAAAGGTATTTGTCACCTTCTGTCAGTATTCCCTGTCAGGTAAATTTTCAAATCGTTTGAAGTATCTGACTTAACCTACCTTACAGAGAAGGGAAGTCTTCCCAGTGGAAAGATCTAGTGAGGTCAATGAATGACTTTTCTTCATAGTTAGTATAAGAGGTCATCACAATACCTGACCAGCAGGATTGTAGTGAATGATTATGTATTAGGCTACTGTTTTCTTCTAACTCTTTTCTCTTCTGACTATGAATTTTCAAAATTCTAATTATTTCAGACCTGCTCCATCATTATATCTTGAATGTAGTATTTAGTGCTTATTTCTCAGTTTATATGTTTTAACTGAGAAATAAGCACTATACATTCACAACATTCAAGATATAATGATGGTGCAGATCTGAAATAACTAGAATTACATCTGAATCATTCATTACTAAGATAGTAGACTGCACCCTCTATGTGGTAACTGGGGGGGCCTTTGGGTTGTTTTCATTGTACGGGCATTTGAGGGCAATCTACAGATGGAAAATTGTCTTTGCATAAACACTTGATGATAAACATTCTATATTACGGATGATATTAGTATCTTTTCATAAATAAAAAAATCCTATTTTCTTAGGAAAATATCCAGTCTATAATTCCTAGTCTCTCTTACAATTAAGAACAAAACATATGTTGTATTCTAACAGTAAACACAAATAATCTACTAAAACTGCACATTCAAGTAAATACGTAAGTAAAACTCTTCCATGTAATAAATACAGATAACCATGTCATAAGAGAGGACAATGTTCTAACATGAAATTAGTTTGGTTCTATAAATTATAACTTTAAATGAACAATTTTTGTCAACCAGGACACATAATTTGAACTCTTATATAATTAAGAAATAACCTTCTATTATGTTTAAACTCTCTTCCATATGTTACAGCAGCTAGAATTACACTAATATGATATTATCCTTTAACAAGGAAAAAGACCAGTATAATGTGTCTTCAGTCTTGAACTAACTCCTATCCATTCCCAATACATTTCATTAAACATATCCGATGTTTGGTTAGAAAAATTATTAATAGCTTAATTTATTGAGGAAGGGAGGGTGGGTGGGAGAAAAAAGACAAGGAGGAGGGGAAGTCGCATATTTGGGTAGTGGAGGGAGGGTGGACTTGTACCCTGGGCAGCCATCATGGCTCTGATGCAATGGGCTGTGCTACTAGCTAAACTAGGTTTTTCTTTGTGTGTGTTGCATTCTACAAGTAAAAGGGGAAATTAAAAGAATAATCATTAAAAAATAGAAGTGTCACAGCCTTAACAACGCTACAAATTCCTTACCTTTCAGATCTGAACACTGGTCTCAGTAGCTACAAAAGGAGAAAAAGTAAAATTGAAATTGACTTACATTTTTTGTAACAAATGAGCTAATTTCAAACAAACAAAATCATAATAAAAAACTGATTTTATTTTTCTAGAACCTAAGAATTAGAAATATATTTTATACATCTGAATACAGAAAGTTTTTTTATTTTTAAAGTTGTTTCAGCTTA